AGTCTGTAACTATTTACTGAGATTTGCTGTACCGAGAATTTGTCCTGCTCTGTCTCTCCCTTAGAGATTGAGAGGAACAAAGAATACATTCCTCTTGACAGACCTCCTATTCAGTGTCTTGTGTATAAAAGACATTGCGTGGTTAATAAACCTGCTGCAGTTCCTTGATTGAGCTGTAGTCCTCCCGATCCCGCTCTCCTGTCTTTCTTTCTTTTCTCAATTCCCACCTCCCTACCTCAGCCTGGTTCAACCTGTCAGGCTAGCCCTGACAAGGAGGAGCTGCAGAAGGAATGGCAGGGACTCCATGGGGTCTGTGTACCACATCAGTCCTAGCGCTGCCCTCCCGGAGCCAGCCAGGTGAGGTCTGGGCATTGGTGGAGGTGGCCTATCCCATCATGCCTTGTGCAGAATGTCACCCGAGACCCCTCCTCTTCCATTGTTTTGGGTCCCATCTCCTGCCTGAGGAACTGAAACCAGGAGCCCTAGACTCATTCCAGTTTGAAGGGTCTTCGTTAGAGTTTGCACAGTTTCAACTTCTCACTAACCAACCCTGCTGCTTAAGACACATTCGCACTAAGTATTCAAGAGTGCCTCCTTCCATCAGGGCAATGGGACCACTTCATGACTGAATTCTGATGTAATAACTCTCACTGGTAACTTTAGAGACCACCACCTTCTACTGCAATTGTCGCTTCTACCTCTATTGCTTTGTCACACCAGCCAGTGTCACCCTGACCACATCCACCGGCCAGGTCTTATCCCAAGTTGATCAAAGGAGTGGAGTCTCAGCATTTGAGGTAGGGCTCAGCTGTGGACCTTTCCTCAGGTCACATGACCTAGCTTGCCATAAGCTGCAGGGGAGGTTCCACCATGAGATGGTCAGCTCCCCAGCTTGCACTGTCCAGTTCCTCTCTTTCAAGTTCAGCCCCTCTGCATTCTGCCACCTGGAGGTCAAGTAGGAGTGGGTACCGGGAGGTAATATTCCATGCAGATGGCCCTGTGAACAAGAGGTACTCATGAGCCACCTGAGATTGCATCACAACCTCTTTGTTTAACCTGGAGAAACCCCAGCCCTGGCTCCACTAGAGCAGGGGAGCATCATTGAGCAGAGGCAGTGCCCAGCCCAGTTAGGTATCTGTAATGTTTTTCACCTTCCCCACTGCATCCTGGACCACTTGGCTTTTCGCATCTTATGTTTCTTGATCTCTGTTGTTATTCAGACATGTTTTGTCCATTGTTGATGCCTCCCTCTGAGCTAAGCTCCTCCAGTTTGATGAGTGACAGGATGTGTCAAGATACTAAACATTAGCTTCCGCTCCTCCACTCTGCTCTGAACTCTCTGGGGACAACCTCCCTCCCTGTAGGTGGTCCTCAAGTGACCTGTCCTCCCGTCTGTCCTGCATTGAGTGCCAGACTAGATGCTGATGGACATTTGTTTCTGAAAGACCTCAATGTGACCACATAGGCTTTGCAGGACTGGAACTTAGTTTCCTCAGTTGTCCTCCATACATGGGCATGTTTGAGACCCCTTCCTTCTGCAGGAGGCTCTTCCTCAGCCAATTGTCCTAGGCAGGTGACAGAAAAATTCACGATACTGTGAATTGTGAGAATATCGAACCGTTGTATTCCTGCCCAAACACAGATTCTCTGGAAAAATACATTAGAACAACCTGTCACCAAAGATCAACAAAGTTGAATGGAAAAGACTCCAGTGCAACTGGCGCTTGCAAACGCTGGTTCTGCTTCCATCAGTGAGACCCAGCTTTCCTGGTAGGTTTTTTGTTTTTTTCAAAGTGGGTCCTTTAAAAGCACCTAGGGATTTTCTGTGATACAGTGTCTTTTAGAAAAACTTACGTTATAATGAGAGAGAGAAAAACAACAACTACAAAACGGTAAAACAAAGACAAACGCCATCCTGGCAGGGTTTTTCATGGGAGGGTTTCTCCAAGGGGGCCCGCTGGACGTGTTGCACGTGCTGTGGAATATTCCTCTTGTCTCTCTGTGATATCTGCCTTTGTGTTTGGCATTACCAAGCCTGGGAGGTTATCATGAATGCCAGTCGTGTGTAATAAGCGCAACTGACAGGATTTAAAGGCTAAGCCTAACCTTTCTAATCCATCTATTCCCCATTCTGTGCCTCAGGCCATGCCTCTTCTGCAAGAATATACTACATTCTTGCGCCTGTGATGGGAGCTGCAATAATTTCCTGACTGTCAGTCAAAGCCTCTCTCCTGGAGGAGTTGGGGAAATGCAGGCTTCTCCTTCTGACTAGAAGGAAAAGGAGCTATAAAGACTTTTCAGAATAAGATTATAGTCCTTTTCCCTCTTTTCTGTTAGGTTAAATTAATTAACAGAATAGACTAATTAAAATTAGATTAAAAATTAATTCTGAATTTTAAAATATACTTAGAAATTAATTTATCAGTAATTTGTTATAAAATAAATTCACTGATATTAAGTGAGAGCTATGTGTTGGGCATTGTTCTAAGCACTGGGGATACAAAATAGATCAGGTCTCTGTTCTTCTGGATCTTCTATCCTTTGAGTGGAGAAACAAAAAAAGAATCAAATAGACAAATATGGACTAAATGGCAAAGTGGTAAATGCTGTGAAAAAGATAAAGCAGAATAAGGAGGTAGGGAATGAGGGCTGGAGAGTGGGGTTCTGTTTCACCTAGCATGCTCAGATAGGGCCTCTCAGGGAAGATGATATTTGAGCAGAGGTGTGAAGGACATGAGCGAGTGAGCCACGCTGATATATTGAGGAAGAGTGATTGGCAAAGAAAGCAGCTAGCTGTAAACACTAGGGTCCTCAGGGTATTCAAAGAACTTTTTATGTTACAGTGAAGAATTTGGATTTTTTTCAATGATGTAAAAAGTCATTGGTGAGTTTTGAATAAAGGAGTGACATAATTTTATTTATGTTTTTAAAGAATCAACTTGACTGATATTAGTAAAAACAGCATGAGGGGGCAAAGGAGAAAACAGTTCAGTCGTTAGGAGGTTATTATATTTCATCTAGGAAGGCAGTGGATTGGAGTAGGCAGCGGTTGCCAACCTTTCAGACCTCACAGACCACCAGTGGTCCGTGGACCACCAGTTGGCAACCGCTGGACCAGAGTGATATCGATGGAAGTAGTACTGAGTGGTGATTGGGTTGTGGAACTATTTTGAAGGTAGAGTCAACAGGAGTGGCTGATGGATCAGATGTGAGATATGAGGAAAACAAGAACAGTCCAGAATGATTTTGGGGTTTTAGCCTAAATCACTGAGAGCAGCTGTTTGCTGCGATGGTAGGATTGAGATAGGAGCAGGTTTGATGGTTGGTGGAGAGGATCAGAGTTCAGAATGGGCTACATTTAGTTTAAGCTGCCTGTTAGACATTCATGTGGTGATACATCATAAGCATAATAGTCTGGAGTTCAAGGGTGAGGTCGGGGCTGAAAAAACAAACTTGAGTGTAATGAGCATAAATAGTTTTAAAGCCATGGGGTTGCATGAATCATCCACAGAGTAAATGGAGAGAGGAAAGGAGAGATCTGGGAATGGAGTTCTGGGCATCTCCAAAGCTTACAGATTGGGAAGGAGATGGAGAGGGGTGGTTAGTGAAGTACAAGAAACCAACAAACAGAGCACTGCCAGAAGCAAGGGAATGAATCATTCCAGAAGGAGAGCAATCAACTTTGCTAACTGCTGTTGGCTTGAATAAGATTAATTATTGAGAAATGACTATTGGATTTGGAGGTCACTGGTGACCTTAATCAAGAGCACTTTTAGAGGAACAATGTGAATAAAACTCAACAGGGGTGGGTTCAAGAGAATGTCGTAGAGCAAATAGTAGTATTAGACAACTTTCCTGAGGAAATTTGTTGTGAATGGCATATTTGTATGCTGATACAGTTATGGGTAGGTGGCTGGAAGGTTTGATGGTGAAAGCCTTTGGAAGATCATGAGGTTTGAGTAAGAAGAGGATGGAGGAGAGAGGTACATGTGAGAAGAAGGTACATGAGACTGAATGGACCACATCAGTGTTTCTCATGCTGCCCTGGGCATCAGAACCACCAGGGGTCTTGTTAAAGCACCAGTTTCTGGGCCTCCCCCTGAAAGTTTCTGATGCCATTAGGTCTGGGGAGGCGCCCAAGAATTTGCAATTTTTATAAGCTCCCAGGTGATACTGATGCTGCCGGTCCAGGGCCTCCACTTTGGGAAGCACTGGGCTTGGGAAATGGGAAATGAGTTAAGATGAGCAGCACTAAGGCCTTCTTGGGTCTGGCAGTCACCCATGTAAAGTGAATCTAGCCAACGTGGTGGTGTGCTTTTCTCTAGCCCTGTTCAGTAGCTCAGGAGTGGCAGCAGTAGGCACAAAGTTGGAATTAACCAGAAAAAATGACGAGTTGATATCACCAGTATATTTAAGAAGTTTTACTTCTCTGTGATGTCTTTGTTATAAAGATGCTATTTCTTCATCTTTCATTTGAAATAGAAAATATTAGAGAATCAGAGATTGAGAAAAATGAAAGTTTATGGTTGAAATTTAATGTTGCTGGGCTTAGAAGTAAAAGGAAATAATATCACCTCTGGTCTCATATTGCAAGTAGAAATATAAGCCCTTATCCCTAAAATATCTATTAATCATACTGTTACAAAATTCTGAAACATACTTTGAAAAACTAAAATTTGTTTGTTTTTAAATATTATGAGATTACATACATCACAAGTGAATTTTAAGACTATTATATTATTCTTTGCAAATGGTTATATACTCCTACAAAAACAAGTTGTTAGGTCCAGAGCCTGACACACATGAAATGAGTATAGGAAAGGAGAAGTCTGCTGTTAGAGTGAGGGCCACAGCTTGTTAATCAGAATGTGGGAAAGAACTGACTTCCATAATTCAGATAGAGCATGTGACGTGGCAATTTAAATATAGCAATCTATTTTCCATGTTAAGCTAGTATTAATTTTTAAGTAACTGGTACTTTTCTTTTTATTAAATAACAGGTTTTGCTGGAGCCGGGTGTGATCCAGGATGTGTTAGCCGCTGGCAGCCACCTGCAGCTGTTGGAGCTCCTCAGTTTATGTTCCCACTATCTCATCCAGGTATGTGAGCTAGCATCCTGCCAACATGCCCTTCACATTCCTTCCCTCTGTCGTTATAGGCGGTACCCCACCAACTGACAGGTAAAATGGAATGGGGGAGGGATGTGGTCTCTGCTGCTAGAATTTCTCCAGGACACAAGCTGAGAGCTCCTAGGAGCCAGCTGCAGCTCTCATGTCCTAGCTCATGGCCTCCACTCTCCCTGCCCACCCCAGATCCCCACCATCCTTGGGCAGTAGAGTAACTCACCAACCATGCACAGGGTTCACTGCCAGGGCCGGAGAGATGATGCGGGAACAGATCATGATTTGAAGCAGTGCTGTCTGGTTTCCACATGGAATAACCACAAATGCACAATAAGTTGGATAGTCCTTTAAGAATTCAGTAACAGAAACTAATATATCACAAAGTCATAAGTGTATATTTAATTAGCACATGAACTTCCTAGGCAATAAATGCTGGAAAAATGAGTGATCTGTGCATTCTTCCCTGGATTTGCTGGGGTGGTCAGGAAGGCTCTGTGAGGGGCAGGGAGAAAAAAGCCTACTGTGAGTTCACACCAGTGTTTCACCTTCAGTCCTCAGCAACTTCAGACATTTTGTTTTATTTTATTTTTTTAATACCTCTATTGATTTCAGAGAGGAAGGGAGAGGGAGAAAGAGATAGAAACATCAGTGATAAAAAAGAATAGACTGGCTGCCTCCTGCATGCTCCCTACTGGGGACTGAGCCCAAAACCCACACATGTGCACTGACCAGGAATCAACTGCGATCTCCTGGTTCATAGGTCAATGCTCAACCACTGAGCCATGCTAGCCAGGCTCTTTGCACATTTTTATAGGCGAAAAATCAGAGATTCAAAATGTACCCAGCTTGTCCAAGGTGACATGGCTGATGAGTGGTAGGCCTTTCTGATTCCAAAGACCATTATTTCTTCTTGGATGAAAACCCTTTGGCTCAGGAGGAAGATAGGGGACTTCTTGGGCAGATAGTGTAAGATATTTACAGAGAGTTCAGTAATAATTCCCTGTATTGGAATCCTTCCATTTCCCCAACTTGTATGAATTTTGCTGACATTTATTACAGCATTATAAAGACAGTGAAAATAAAATTTAAAAAATGATAAATCCACACAATTTAATTCTGCTATCCTTGTGAATATGACATGAGATTAGTAAATAGAAAAATTTTACTTGTTTCCTGCTCAGTTATTTTATTTCCCTCCTAATTTTTTTCTCTAATTCTAAATATGGCCTTGATTATTGACTTCTGTTACTCACTAGGCAGTTTCCAAATCTCTTTCTGTTACATCATCTTATTTCATGTTCCCAGCAACCTTGGGAGGTAGGAACCAGTGCTTCCTTTGGTGATGGTGTGAGGGATGTCAGCCGTGTTCAACTAAGGAACAATTCAAATACAGTATATGAAAGTTTTATCATCTCAACTCATTTAATCTAATAGTAAATGTTTAACTATTTTTTATCTTATTTTTTTTTCTTTTCCCCTCAATATTGTTGGGTGATATGGGAGAGTTATTTTTAATCCCTTTCGGCAAGTAGCAAATGGAAATAATGTAGAAAGGTTACTTGACTTCAAAAGTGTGGGTTAGACTTGTGAAATTGAAATTACTTTTATATGCTATTTCTACATCAAATATTGTAACTCAAACTTTCAACAGCATCACCTGATTCACTTTTTTAATGACAGGTATAATCAATGATATATGTTGACAAAAGTTTGGTTATTGCCGCTTATCATGATGCATGTTAAAATAGTGTGTCTATACAGTTGTGTGTGCACCTATATATTAGTTTTCTATAAATGAGAATTCCAGACAAACATTAGAAGATCATGAATATTTTCCCCTACCCCATCAGATGAATTTGCTGAAATATCAAATGACTGTGGACTTTGGAATTTAATTCTTGCAGTTTATTATTTTGCTGAGAAAAACGTGTAGCTTGCATACAGATATATTTTGTGGACACATCATTTATTATTAGCTTGCTTGAACAGTGGTTGAAATTTTCACTTTCTTTTCACCAATATGCTTTCATCTCATTCTCTTGTGTAACTTTACTTTTCTGTTTTATCTGTGACCACTGCAAGATGTCCAGTGTGTGGAAGGAAACTTTGACTATAAGAGAACTGAAACCATGTCTATGTAGAAACCTTCATTATGCTAGTCTTTTAAAATATATGCCCTCCCTCTCTTTGGGGATTATAAAATGACCAGACTAGGTCAGTCTGCTTTTATATTTTGACACAATCTTATAACAATACTTATTTACATTTTTTGTATTATTGCTCAACTGAGCTTTGATTTCATATAGAACCATTTTATTGAGTATAAAAATGTTTTATTAAAATGAAAAATCTTCAGTGCTTAACACATACTTAGAAATTATGCTCCATCAATTAAGGGTAATCTCCGTCCTTGTTTAGTACTTTGTTCAACTAGGAGTCTGTGAAGCCATTCTCCTCACTAAATGTCTGGTGTTGTCTTGTTATTTTCAAATTACCATCATTTCTTTGGTTTTCTTCCAGAGGTGTGAAGGGTAGACCCCTCTCCTGTACTTCCTGTTATCCTCCAGGGCTCATTAAAAAGCATGTCCAAGGAGAGCCCCTTGGTTGATACTCAATGAATCACGCCCACCCCAAGCCTCCCTGAGCCTCCTAACCACCAGCTATTGCCTTGGCCTGAAGCTCTTCTGCACATGCATGGATGCTGCTCTCCCCCCACCACCCAGCAAAGGGAAGGGCACCTCGAGGGCACTGTGTGGGCTCCTTGGTCTTGTGTCTCCTCTGGGAGACTGCTGAGGGCAGGGACCCCGAATATCCCTCTGTGTCAGTGAGGACAGGCATTGAATTCGCCTCCCAGGCTTATGAGGCCTTCACCTGATTAGTTTTTAGTTCCCAGGCTCTCTCCCAGGGCCGGTCACTGAGAACACACAGGTTCTCAGTGCATGTTTGTAGAATAAACAGGCAGATGAGCAATGAAAATGATGCTAACTGATGGGGGTGGAGTTGGGGTGGACAGGGGCTACAATAGTCCATCATCCCAAGGTAAGGTATTTGCAAACAACTCCTCAAGTTTGTATCCTTTCTCACCCTCTTTGCAGTGAAATTTCATAGGACTGTCCTATGGAGACTGTCCTGTTAGTATACTAATAAGCATGACCTGTCAGGCTTTTATCTGCTATTTGTGATCCAGTCCCAAATAAAATGTGAATACTCCCTTCCTTTTCCCCCCTTCTACTCCTCTTCCTTGTCCACTGTGATCTTTTTTAAAAGTCCATCAAAAGATGCACCAATTCATTAAACAGCAATCATTGTCTTTAAGATGGGTCCAATAAAATGCATGGAATGCCTTGCTTTTCCGAGTACATGTGTTCATACATGCCACTCGCTGTTTTAAATCTCATAAAGGAATCTCTGCACATGAAGTGGTTTCAGTGTGTCTACTGGTTTACTGAATCCCTCAGATAAACATTACAAACCTTTTGAATCCAGATTGTTTCCCAAACTCTGATTTTTCCTAGCCTTTTTTTTTAATTGAACATCTCCACCTAAATATCACACCGGACTCAAAATTAACATGAGATAACCAGCCCTTTTCTCTATTGATGGTCCCATGGATCCATTAGTTGTCTAGAAATTTGGACATAGTGTTAGGTTCCTCACCACCATATCCAATCAGCCACCAAGATGGGTTGATTCTGCCTCCCAAATATCTCTCAGACCTGATCCTTTTCTCCATTACTAATGTCTTTAGACTTTCACCATTGCTGGTTATAGGTTATGATGAGTTCATGATCTCCTCTAGGGATCTGCTTGTCTAGCCTCTGTCCATGCCAAACCACATTCCCCAGAGCCATCGTTATCTTTCCCAGGGAAGGGAACCAACATTTTGGGAGCGCTGTTTATACTGTGTTTTGCACAAGGATTCCCATTTTTCCTCTGCAAAGTAATCCCTTAAGGCGGGTCAGTGTTGTTTTCTTTTTGCAGATGAAGAAACTGAAATTCAGAACTAGGATGTTGATCCAGTCTGAAAACCTCCACGTGCTCCCCTGACCACCATTCAAACTCATCATTTCATCTACAGACGTCTTTAGCCTCGTCTCCAAGTCTAGTCCTATTTCTCGCTTGCCCTAGTATCTTCCCTACCCTGTTGTGTCCTGGACCCTAAGGCTTTCCATTCATGTTGATACCTGCCAATAGGGGAGATGACAAGGTAGGGAAGATCCTTGGTGACAGGCAGAGCCTTCAGTCATCTCCTTTCGATAGTATCAAGGGGCAGGAGTAGGGAAAAAACACACACACACACACACACACACACACACACACACACACACCCTCCCCTCGGTGACACACACTGTGCTAAGATCAGGGGTACTGACCACTGGACTTGGTGTTGTAGCCCCTGAAAGTGATGCATTAGGAGAAACGTGATTTGCTGAAAATGTCTTTTTTTTTTGTAGTTAGCTTTATAAAGAAAATTTGTACATTTTGTATCACCTCCCTCAAATAGCAAATAGCATATTGTATTGTTTGATTATCAAGTGTTCTTTGTGTTCACCAAGTATCAGCCTTTATTATGTTATGCAATTTAAATATATTGATAAGGAAGGACCCATCAAGTAGACTTTCCAAATAAGATTGCCAAAGTGATGAAGAAACTCCTTTTGATGGTAATATACTTTTAATATCTATTCCTAGGCAGCAGGTGGCAGTGTGAATCCACCAGATTTCAGTAGTTAATTTAAAGCAAAAATCAGAAAAAATGAAAAGAAAAATTATTTATTTTGCTACATATTAGTCTTCTGACCTAATCAGTAAAAAAGTCATTATTCACATCACACTGGGCAATATGCATTGTAATTTTTAACAAATAATAGGAAACTGTTAATGTGTCCACAGGAAATACAGTTTTGTCTCGGGCTGCTGTGGTCATTTATCACTGCACTTTGTGAAATCACTCATTTGTTCTAATTTGAATGTAA